TCAATCAATCAATTAGCCATCTGGCACAGGAAATCTGCCGGTTCACCTGCACTTCCACGGAAATATTTGCACCTGATCTGGCCGCAAAAACAACTTGGAAGTTGATAAATATCTGGCCATTTGCTAAGGTTTTGAAGTCTATCAAAAGTAAGCATTTGGGCAATTCCACGGTAACGGAAGGACGTTTTCACTCATTAAACAAAATTTCAAATGTGTGTATCACATACACTGTTCATAGTTACAGCAAACAAATGTCACAATTGTATTGCTATAATGCTACTTTCATTTTCCACACTTTTGGGGGGCATGAATGCCTCCCGTTTTTGAATTATGAATATTAATGAGGTCGGTAACGGAAGGACGGTAAAACGGACAAGGGTTTTCCAACTTACTCGCGTTTTGCGTAAACTCTGTGAATTTTATGGGGCAATTATATTTTAAAGGTAGGAAATGGAATCCCTGGAGCTTTATCTATACTATACCGCCTTTCATTTGACTTTAAGTGTTTCGGTAATATAATTACAATGTTTTAAGCAGATTATAATTTGGTAACGGAAGGACGGTAACGGAAGGACAAAAGGTTTACTCAATTATAGCATGAACAAAATGTGAATTTACACTAATTATACAAGTGAAACAAATTGCTAAAATGTGTAACTGAATGTGAAATCAACAATATGCAGACCTGGCATAAATAATTATACCCAAGAAACTATTGAGATAAAGATAGAAGCCTGCTAATTAATGATAACAAAAGAAAACGAAAACAACCCAAAACACATAATTCACGAACACAAGACAACTACAGAAATGGACTTCAAACCCATCACCTCATCCTTAAAAGATTAAATACACAGTATTTGAGCACTTGAGTATATTGGTTACATGTTCACCAACAACTTTTAATAATAATACCGGTAGGTTCAGTGGTTTACCTAAAGGGTGGGGGGGGGGGGGGGGGGGCGACCAGCCTACATGTACATTTAAGGTAAAAACATCTACCGGTAGAATTGATGGCTTCAGTAAGGTGTTGCTTTTAATTGAACTCTAAAATCAATGTTTGAAATCAAATTACAATGACTTAGAGTAGTAACAATTAATTTATAAACATCCAAACTGAAATTGTTAACTTGGGCATAATTTGTCAAAGATTGCACCTCACATGTCTTACACATGTAAATTGAATGAAAGTGCCCCAAAGTACCGGTACTTTCTGCCATCTCATTTTTGACTTAATTTGCTTCTGGAATGGCTTCACAGAATTCGTATCTTTCTCTATTGTCCATGAATGCTGATGGCAGCAACTTTATGATTTGATTTTCTGCAACAACTCCATACATGTACAAGTACTGGTACATCGGCATATACATGTATGTACATGTACATTGTACATGTTGTACATGCCTGTGCCTTCCTTTGTAATAAACACCTTGCCCTGCTTATCCCGCTTTTGTGAAGGTGGGTCACATGAATGTCCTTTCAATGCTCATTATACATGCATGTATTTGCAGTGATTTTCATTTTTCAAACATGAGCGCAAATGTCGTAACATTTGATAAAAATACGATTTGTCCTTCCGTTACCGTCCTTCCGTTACCAATTTGGTAACGGAAGGACGTGATTTAATTAATTGTAATAAAAAAACGAGAAGTACAGCAGTGTCAGTTATAATGTCATATTGAAGGCCTACCTAAACTTGCTTTGCACAATAACTTTCAATGCATTCATACTGCAAGTTTTAAAAATAAATTAAAAATATGTATTTTTTCGGTAACGGAAGGACATTTTCGAAGGCTGAAATATTAGAAGTCACTGAAGCGAAACAAATTACGCAAAATGCTAAAAACAAATTTTAGTCGTTTTTTCAAGACCAATACTTTCTCATGACAGAAACTGATGGCATTAGTACATATTTTTGTGTGTGTATTGGTAGAATACTTTCATATCACTATTAATCACATTTTTAGGATTAAAACAGGACTATTACATAATCCTATTTTTGGTACCGAAATGTATAAAAAATAAAATTCCGACTTCAAATCTTGAAAATATAGACTTTTAGCTTTCATTTGATGCCAAATTTGTTTAAGTCACATGTATTTGAATTTTTTGGTGTCATGTCCACTTTGGTGTGGAATTGCATATTTATAGAATGCACCTGCTATCTGTCTGTTACTCAGTCTGTAAATCTTAAAAAAAATATTCTGTTATCTTTCTAAAAAAAAAGTTCCTAATTCTTCTTGTTTAAAAAAGAAAGGAAAGGACAGCTTTTCCTCACAATCAATCAACACTTTTTCCTAATATTGCGGCCAAAGACATTTATTGTCAAGAAAGCTTCTTTTTTATTCCTTTCTGGGTTTGCCTCATTTTATTAGTCTTCCTTTGTTTTAGCAGAGTAATTACAGTATTTTACAAAGTGTAAATTTGTTGTGGGTGGCTTGTTTATTTTGGCAACATGTTTATTTTTCCACTTGGCCTTATAAATATTCATTTTGGCAGCTGGCATTTTTTTTGCAGTTGTACCAGTATAGTCTGCATTTAATAGGCCTACCGGTACAGTATCTAAAATGCATCATACCCAACGTACTACCTAATCAGTAGTATGCAGTGTAGGCCTACTCTGAAATACTCTCTGATCTCACATAGGTACATGTACTTCAGGGGCATCATCATTAAAGGGGAATTGTTTTACGGCCAGTTTTTTTAAAGGATGGTTGTGTGGACGCAGGCCTAGATACTTTATAAAAGCTCTTTCCAATGAACATCATTTCATTTAATTTAAAATGCGTTTTGTAGCCCAATTGGGCGCAATCCAGGGCTTAGTATTCCTTTAAAAGCCTACACGTATAAACACATCAGGAATGTTCAACAAAAACGCCACTTTGGTGTTTTTTTAAAGTTACCACAAAATCAAAAGATCAAGTCAAAAATGGCGCTGTACACTTCATACGAGAGTTCAAACATGGCGGTACATGTAGGAAAAGCAACAACCCTGGTCCTTCAAGTTCAAATGAGGAACAATTATCGGGCTATAACCAAGGCCTATAGCTGGCGATGATGAAAAGCAACAGGAATTAAGGAACTAGAGGGGAGGGTATTGATATTTTGAGGGGACTAATGAGGTACCGGTACAATACAATGAGGATGACGACCAAAAAATATTTATAAAACAAAAAAATATGAAAATGACACGTCAATACACAGAATTAAATTGTATAGATTTGCATGGCAACAACTGAAAAAGCAGGTAAGAATATCGAAAATACTGCTCAAAATTACAAACCTAGGCCTAGGGCCAAGACATTAAAATTTAAAAGAAGATTGCCATGCAATGGTTTGACATGATATTAAAAAAAATTTCAAAGAACTAAAAACACAACCGGAGCCTCAGACAGTTTGTGATTAGGTATCCTAATTTCCTAAACCTACATACATGTGTTTTAAGCCACATTAACAAAAATAAATAGAAAGTGGGCCTTGGAACGCAATAGTCTGGCACAAATTTACTTCCAGAACCGCAAGGTTGTAAAAAACCTTACAGTTCTGGAAGTAGCACAAATTGCATTCAGGGAAAATGATCAAAAATGGTTTCCTCATGAATTTAGGTCTATACATGTAGCTAGCCCTGGATGACTGTGCAACTATATATTGAATAGTTTATTGCTACATGCATAAAAAATACAAATAGTAGAAATTTCCTTAATTGCGTACTATAAAATACTACTTAAGAATTAGCTAGGATGATCCTAGCGTTATGGTTTATGCATTAATACGAAAATGTGTATGCATGAGGCAATGAAAAGGCAGTCGTATTTGTTGACATGCTGCTAACAAAGGTCTCCTCAGTTTCAGCCAAAATATACGTAAGTAGTGGACATTTCTGGTTTTATTTATCATTCAAGTACTGGAAAAAGTTCAGCAACTATTATTATCCAGGTTTTTAAACAATTCTCGACGTGTCGAGGAATATATTGCAAAGGACATGGTTCTGAAAGAGATGTGCAATAGCTTATAAAATTATAAGACATTAAATATACCATAGGTTAACATGTAAACAAAACCAAAAAAAAATTTAAAATACCAGTATTTAGGCTACTAGTCTAGATACAAGAGTCAAGAGAAACAAACAATCATTGCAATTTCTTTTTTAATTCCCATTTTAAATTTAAGTATCTGACGGGGGTGTTGTAAAAAGAGCGGTTTGATCACTTTGTACGTCCCTGGATTGATCTGTATTTCATGTATTCGTGTCTCATCATCTAATACTGTGAAAGAGCCCATTAGCCATGTTATTTGTTAGCAGTATGAGATGATTCATCTGCACGACTGCAGTAACGTTAGACATTTATTTTAAGCATGATGTAGACAATGATGTCGACATGATAGATGCATACACTCTTCACGACGAATGGAAGGCCTAGCCCTACATCATGATCATGATGTACATGATACATTATGATATTGATAATAATATCTCGCTTTTTTCCGCATACAATTACAATCCTACACAACATTAACCCCGGCCCCGTCAGCAGTCAGTGTCAGTGTGTTCAGCTGAACCAACTAACTCGCACATTCAAATTATAAAGAGCAAACAGTAAAAACACAAGTACTTACCCCCTACTCAAACAGTAGACGGCAGCCAGATCAGATCACCAAGGGTACCGGTACGAGCTCCCAATCTCGGAACTTCCTGAAATTTGCTGATGATGGCACAACCCGAAAGTGGACGTTCGCAAAAGCTGTCCGCCATCCACTGTTATTCATGAAGAGCGCCACCTATTGGCGGGTATGCGTGCACGTGCGATGCACCTGCGATGCACGATAATCGATGCACCTGTCATAAAGTGGCTGCACAATATAGCGGCCTTTGAGCTGCTCATAATCATCTTCAATCACATGATTAACAATTGGATCAGTTGCTGCAAGCGTTTCCAGTTGCATTCTCTCTATTGGCCGACCTGTCAATCGCAACAAATTCTGGACTCCCTTCGAGACTGATGGAAGTTTCAGTTGGAGGCCGAGGGGGCGTGTCCGGAGATGGTGGGTGTGTCGACCTGAGTACAAAGCATGAACCACTTGGAGGGCTTTTCAACCCTGTTAAGGTTTGGCTTGTTGGATCGTCATTCAACCTTACCATGAAGATTTTTGAGACAAATATTTATTTTAATTAATATACCGCCGATTATTTAATAATAATTCCTAATTCCACATGCATGTCCGTTAAAGAATTATAGCCTTATCATGCTTATTCCTCCTTTTTTGCACAATATTCATTTTACTTTTTCATCACAATAATTAAACTTATGATGGTATACCTTGAACAACAGTCTTGTGAAATTGCTTAATTACACAGATTTTTTTAAATTAAGCATAATTAATAATTAATGTATTGTCACCAGGAGCCCGCAGACTGGAGCCGCTTCAAGTTGAGCCAGGAGCAGGTGGATCAGTTCTGGCGAGATGGTTACCTGACCAACATCCCTGTGCTGTCAGAGGAACAGTGCGACAAGATCTTGTCAGACTATCAGCGAATTATTGTAAGTTTGAAAGTGATTATAAAACTTTGGTAGGGCGTCGCTCTGAATTTCCATGATTTTAGGTACTACCCAAACCACTGTCGGTTACTTCCTATAGAGCCCTTGTAAAGGGCGCCCTCGCTGAGGACAGGTGTTTAATTGTTTCTCTCTGATACTAATGAGTAGTAATGAGGCCAACCCAGAACAGACAGGACAATAGCCTCAACAACCGACAATGATGATGATGAGACACTTTGTTCTTGAATTTAACAATGTCCTCATATATAGTCATGTTGATGGCACTATGTGCATGGAGGAATAAGAACACGCAGTCTATCATGTTGCTATATACCTCCTTATGGACCCAGGCCAGTACTGTATGGTTTTTATAAATTAAGCAAGGAGTAAATACAATGTAATGTAATACAATGTAATACAATGTAATACTATGGAATACATTGTATTACAACTTGTATTACAAGCAGTGTTGTCGTTTTTGAGTCCATCACAAGTCCTTACAAAGTCACAAGTCTATTGATCTCAAGTTAAGTCACACACTGAGTTCTTAAAATGAACTGTGACCAAAACATTCCTTGGTACATTTAATTGTTCATCCCCTGTGACTTGTGACTGGAACTGTGAAAGGTCTTGTGATTAACTTGTGACTGGCCTTTTGATGTACTTGACACAACAGGTCCAAAGTTGTTCAGCCTTGTTCATATAAATGTTAAACTATTTTGCAGTAAAGCATAGGGGCAGGTAGTCTATCCGCTCCATTCACAATTACCCCCTCACCGGCAAACAAAGTACCGCTGGGTGTGACCGATCGACGCCATCTTACTTGACTGCAATTTTGCTGTGTACATAGTACAAATCCCCTGGTGAACGTGCCTCACACACAAGGAACGGTGCGCGTTAACTACAGTAGCTAAATGTCCCGCCCATGGGACGTCGTTGCTAAGTAAAAGGGCGCCCTCTTCCGTTGGCGCACAGAGCTCATATGGAATATCCTCTAGCAAAGCAAGGGTCTATACAATGTATGTCAGTAGATTCCACGACTAATTATGCAAAACAAGACTGTGTCTTGACCTCAAGATTCTGAACATTCAGGGGGTACTTTCTATATATCTCATCTTCAGTAGCCAGAAATTACAAAACATTGCATCCAAACTGACCTGTCAACAGCTTAGTCCACATTTTTGATTGAAAGGATGTCACAGCTTTTAAAGTCGACTCCACCAATTGGCTGGGCGTGGGGTCGCATAAAATTTGCATGTTATATATCAGATGTTCCACCGTGGCTCTGCAAATGTGAATGTCTGATCCTGAGATTAAAGGGGCAGAGTGGAAGGGCCATCACTTTATTTACTTTACTTTCATTTTTTTAAAATGTTTCTAGGAAGAGAACGACAAACTTCCTGGAATGGATTTGTTATATGAGTTCCACTGCAATCAGACCAACGATCCGCGTAATGTTCTCCTGCACTGCCTAGGCCACTGGAGACTGATGCCGAGCTTCCATGATCTCTGCTTCATGCCAAATATTGCGGTAATTTCATGAGCCTTAATAAGCCTCTGTACTGATGACGCCTCACTTTGTTTACATATGAGTGCTTTCTTATGGGAGCCTGGTGGGGACGATGGTTTTGAAGCCCCATAGAAAAGCACACAAGTAACAAAGCCTGACGTCATCAGTACAGAGGCTTATTACTTTGGCCAAAGAGAGCACAGTGAAGCTGTAAAATAATTTAGAAATGAAATATTAAAAGCAAATTTGAGATGCATCTGAAACAGACTCTTCCGAGCATCTGGTCAAAAATATTTTTTTTTAATTTTTAGTCTCTCCCTTTCCAATGACATTTAATTTTTTAATATGCTTTTTTTGGCAAAATTATGCGTATTGAAAGTCCATGATGTCACAAGGGTGAAAACAGCTAAATAGCCTTCCAAATTGTTGGCACTTTTTGATTTTATACACCTTGACAAATATAAGACAAATAAATAAAGTCACCTTAGTTGCAAAATTATGTTCTGAAAATTTACTGGTCAGTATTTTTTTGAGGCCAAAAAGAAAAAAGTGTCTGGTTTCTGGTATGGAGCTTGCCCCAAAAGTGGTGCAGCGACGCTGCTTTTCTATTTTTTTTACTCTTTTTTTTTCTTCAAATGTCAGCTGAAGACTGCAAATGGTGCCAGACTAAATTTAGTGCAAAAATATATGGGAGTCCAGAGAGGTCACATAAAGCTTATACTCGATCGTAACCCCATCTAAAAACGCGTTAAAATTGTGCAGCAGCAGGATTCCAGTCAAACCAGTGAGTTTGGCGGCTTTGAGACATCATCTTTCATTGAAAAAAAAACTTTTTCATTTTGCCGACACGCATGGCTACGGCGACGCGCGCGCATACCAGAAACCGGAGACTTTTTTTTTTTGGCGTTAGACATATTTACGATGACAACTTCATTTGAAAAAATCTTTAAAAAAAATATCAAGTAAGGCCAAAAAAAAAAAGTCTCCGGTTTCTGGTATGCGCGCGCGTCGCCGTAGCCATGCGCGTCGGCAAAATGAAAAAGTTTTTTTTTCAATGAAAGATGATGTCTCAAAACCGCCAAACTCACTGGTTTGACTGGAATCCTGCTGCTGCACAATTTCAACGTGTTTTTAGATGGGGTTATGATCGAGAATAAGCTTTATGTGGCCTCTCTGGACTCCCATATATTTGCACTAAGTTTAGTCGGACACCATTTCCAGTCATCAGCCGACATTTGAAGCAAAAAAGTCGGGTAAAAAAAAAAAAAAAAGCCGCGTCGCCGCACCACTTTTTAGACAAGCTCCATACCAGAAACCGGAGACTTTTTTTTTTGGCCTAAACTGTCTTATCTTCATTCGAAGCACTGTTGATAAGCATCTGGGTTTAGGGGAACATTTCACATCTTTGTGGCACCATTGCTTTTGCCTATTTTGACTGTGCTTTCAACCTCTGGTTTGTAATTCTTTTTAATCAATTTTTCCTTCCCCTGCGTCAGGTCCCCGCCTCACAGCTGTTGGATCCCAATCAGGAGCGGAAGGTCAGATTGTGGCACGACCAGCTCTTTGCAAAGCCACCCCATTGTGGAGGCAATGTCGCCTGGTAAGTTTTCTTGCCATGCTCATTCCTATTTGAAATTCAAGTATTATTCAGAAAAAAAACCCACAAAGGGTTTGAAAATGGTAATAAAAAGCCTTATCCTTGTGCAGCATTGTTAATGTTGCTAGCATCCTGACTTTGGGCGTGATCCCTGGCTACATGGCATAGACAGGTTTATGGCTTACTAGCGCCCTTTTAAAGGGAAATTACAACATTTGCCAGCATCGAAAAATAAAACTACCAAGTTTTTACGAAATACCTTACAGGATGTTGGTAAATGACAGTCTAAAGCATCCTGGTGTGAAGTCATTTTCAAGTAAATGGTATTCTTGTATACATTTCCAACGGTAAACTTAACTATTTTTCAACTGCTGCTTCAAATTTACCATTTTTCCTTCAGTCCAAATTTTGTTTCCTATTGGTTGCATGTTCATGAATGGGGGCAGGCCAGTTAGACTGGTTCCCTTACCGTACAATTTTCCGGCATCTATAAATTGATCCATTTAATTTTCAGTGGAGTCAGGGAACCAGACTACTTGAACATTTTTGGGTTTTTTTGGTTTTTCCAGCATTTCCGAACACAAAACTTCAAACATGTCAGTGCAACAATAATTTGATCTATTATACTAACTTCTCAAATAGTTCATTTCTGATAATCATAAAGCAAAAGCCAATGATGTACATTCCCTTTAAATCTGACTAGCACCCCTTGTAGAAACACATTATTGACAAAATGGGGAACCGAACCAGCCGGAGGTTGCAGGTTCAAACCCTGCTCCAGTTAAAAAATGTTAGATGAGATTTGAAGGTTTGCATGGTGGAAAGGTACTAGGACAAGATAAGTTTGCGGTAGCACCATGTGAATCAATCTCTTTTGTGAGTATGTGAGTAGGTGTGGGAGTCCCTCTGGTTCTTTTCAGAACCACACAAACTCACAAAAGAGATTTATTCACATGGTGCTACCGCAAACTTATCTTGTCCTAAAAAATGTTAATTTAATTACCGTAACTTTGAGTGGTGTCCAGTGAAATTGTTGTCATGATAGATACTTTCCAAATTTGATACGTCAATCACACTTATAACTGTTTGAATTGCCAGGCATCAGGACTATTCCTACTGGACTCGGACCGTGCCCATGGCTCACCTGACCATTCACATTGCCCTAGATGCCCAGACACTGGATAATGGCGGCCTGCAGTACGTACCTGGATCGCACAGGTAAGGACTGTACAGTGGAGTGACATGGCCTAGCGGTTAAGAACAAGACTCATGCTCTGGTGTTTCAGAGGCAACAGTGGCTTGGGTTCGAGCCCGGCTAACACTTGACCGTTATTGCTTTGTCCTTCGGATGGGACGTAAAGCCGTGACGTCCTGTTAGCCTTGGTCAAGGTGCTAGTTGTTATTCATCCGGGCCATAGCGCGGTAAACGATATCCTCGCTAGCGCTATGCATGCGGTGCATTAAAAATACAGCGCGAACAGCGACCTCATGCAGCCACCATTTCTATGCAAATCAGTTGGACCAGATCTAGCGCCTTGGTTTCAACAGGCATGCAACTGGGAAATCACAAAAAAAGAGGAAATTCAAATCTTTCCCAGACTTTGTACAGTGTTTTTCTATTTTCAATGGCACACATGGGAGGTCAAAAAAGAGGAAATCAGCTGATCAGCTGAAAAGTTGCATGCCTGTTTCAATCGTCGGCAAAAGCTTATGTTTTTCTTTATTTTGCACTGGATTTCTAGCGCACGACCTCGTATGCGAATACAGATAAGTGTAGGTGGGGCTAATATGTGAAGTGTCCAATCACACCTTGGTAAATCCTGATGTCATCAAATTATTTGCAGCTAGCTATTCGCCTTTTGCAGACCTGACAGGAACCACGGTTTTTGTGCATTGGTCATGTTGGTGCCGTGTGCAGAGACACACAATGTGTACGTGTATGAATTATGTACGGTGCCACGTTTCACTATGCAAGTTTCCACGCAACGATCAACCAATAAGAAAACGATATTTAAGGTCAGCTAAGGCTATTAATACAATGAGCACCACCCCCAAACCCTCACGTGGACGATTGAACCAAGGCGCTAGATTGGGTCCAACTGATTTGCATAACAATAGTGGCCGCGTGAGGTCGCTGTTCGCGCTGTATTTTTAATGCACTGCATGCATAGACATATGACTGCATGCATAGCGCTAGCGAAGATATTGTTTACCGCGTTACGGCCGGATGAATAACAACTAGCGCCTTGACCAAGGCTATAGGTCCCGTGTTTTGTATAATGCACGTTAAAGAACCCAGCACACTTATCGCTAAGAGAAGGGGTTCGCCCGGGTGTTTCTGGCTGTGCGATTATCTTCAGCCATGAAGTCTGCTCTTGTAAGGAAGAAGAAGTTAAAAGACAGGGGCGTTATGAGTATTAAGACTGTATCTATAACATCCATTACTCTCAAACCAAACCAACCCATCCTATCGCAATGTTTCCCTTGCCAACCTGATGACAGCATCCCAATTAAAATTTTACACCTGTCATTAAAACACAACGTGCGCCAATCTCAAGCCAAAAGTAGCTGTACATTGCTTATTACCGGCTTCATATGAAAACTGGTCTGACAATTTTTGTTCCCCCAGATGGACCAGGGATGGGGCTCCCCTGCCCGTGACTGACTTCAACTTCAAAGATATGGACTCAATTGAGGTACGTATGTTACATAAACACATCAACTACAGTGGTAACTATTTTTTCTGCCCTTCCACAAGTTACAATAATTCCATAAGCACTGCATACTTTGCCATGTAAGATCTTGGCAGGGGTGTTAAAAACCATGACAAAAAAGAAAGGGGGGGGGGGGGGGAGAGGGAAAGGGGAGAGAAGGGAGGAGTAGCCAGGCCTCTGACGATAAATGTGTTTGCAGGTGGCCCGCTGTATCCAGACATGGCTTAAACCAACAGTCTCAGGGACAACCCCATCCCCCCCCAATGAAAAATTTCCCGCTGCGCCACTGTATGTGGGTGATGGGCAAAATTATCATTGGAAAAAAAAATCGAAATAGAGTATCGCATCTTGCAAATTGAAGATACTAATCGTATTAATGCTGATCTTTTGGCCTCGGGTAGAGTCTGCATTGAAAGTACAATCATTTTTTTAAACACAATTTCAAATGGTAACTTTTTGTCCACTCATCAGACAATCTTGACGGAGGAAGAAAGGGCCAACTTCAAGCCAGTCCACGGCCTCCTGAAGAAAGGACAGGCAAGCATCCACCACCCGCTGACGGTCCATGGATCTAAACCCAACAGGTGCGTCCCCCAATGCACAAAGACATTCCTAAATGTGTATATTGGTTCATCCTTTGTACTTGTGACTGGACTTGCGAATTGACTTGGACTAGACTTGTGACAGATTTGTGATTTCTTACAACCCTGCTAGGTACCTCAGGTCTTCAAATTCGTCCCTGCTTGTTGTGCCTAAAACTATTAAATCTTGGGGGGACCGTTCATTTTCTCATGCTGGACCTATGTTATGGAACAAACTTCCTCAAAATATTCGTGATAGTGCTACTTCCCATGAGTTTAAATGTGCTCTGAGGACCCACCTATTCCAAACAGCATTTCATTAATCATCCAGTTTGATTTCACTCTCATATGTACTGTTTCATATTGATGTATTTTCATTTGTGCGTACTTTTGTTCCCTGCTGTTTTTGATGTTCATGTTTATTTGTTTGTTTCTCTGCGCCTTGAGCATCTAATCAAGATGGATTTGGCGCATTATAAATGCTCTTTATTATTATTATTATTATTATTATTAGCTTCATGTACATCACTGACTGGAAACATAGACATTGGCTGATGTGCAACCGTAAAACTCTCATTATCTGAATGTGACCAAAGGTTTAGCATCAAAACTAATAACATCTTTACTTTCATCAGGTCGGAGTATTCTCGCCGCGCATGTGTTGTGAACTACGTCGCTGATGGGGTGTGCAGTAATTCAGATGAGCCGCTACTGAAAGGAACCAACTTGATCAAAAAGGTTTGTGGAAAAGAACCTTGTTTATTTTGTATCAATAGAAAATCATGTGTGTCCAAAAACTCCATGCTTACAGCTATGGGCATGGATATTTGAAATTTGTCAAAATAAAGCCCGACATTCGAATGGCATACATCAATCACAATTATGCATACATGTATCTGTCTTGTTCTAAAAAAGCTAGAACAAGCAAAATGCTTTATATGGAACCATTGATTTCGGGCGCTACAGTATGTCAGTTACTCTTAAGGTTAAAAAGTAATTGCTTTAATCGTATGGAGTCAATACGTTTGTTAGGAGTGACATTTTGAGATGATAGCTCACCATACGCAAAGAGTTTAAAAGGCCCTTAGTCTCGGTATGTGTTGACTTTTAACACCTCAGCCAAGGTCTTGAGAAATCCAGGATTTCAACCCCTTATCATAGTCAGGGGTCCATGAACCATTCCTGAAGAGGGGTTCAAAATAAGGGGCGTGGCGAGGGCCCGAGGGGGAAAAAAGTGGGATGCATCTACATGTAGTTTGCTCTACTAGCACTCTAAAAGAGTTGAACAAAATGCATATTATAAAAAACAATGTTGGAGGTGAAACTAAATTGACATCCTGCTTTTGTCTTTTACATTCTAGGGAGACAAGATGGAAGGGCAGTTCTACCCACTGATCTATGATCCTGCGTGGTCCAGGGCCTAGATGCATGTAGCCTTTAGTCAAGTGCCACGCGCCTATACCAGGACCATCCGGACACGTAACGCACCCCGGATTTTGGCACGTAAAAAGACTAGCACGAGCGGCGAAGCCGCGAGGGCCTTCACTATCTCACGGAACTAATCACTTATTCATTTATTCACGTAATATAAATCAAGCAATATAAACCAATCATCTAGACGACGGCTGATTTACGTTAGTAATTCTGCATTTTCATTGGTCAATTCACAACGGGGAATGCATTATGCATGTCTACCAAATCGGTAGACAAATGTAAAGAAAAACATAAGCGTTCTCCACAAGATGGTAAAGGCCCTCGCGGCTTCGCCGCTCGTACTAGTCTTTTTACGTGTCAGCATCCGGGGTGCGCCACGTGTCCGGGTAAGCGCGTGGGACTTGACTAAAGGCTAAGATGCATGATGACAGTAGAGAGGTTTCCCATGGGAATGGTTACGCTTAGCGCACTGGATAACTCGTCAGTCTCTCTGGTTTGTGACGTTGCACGCAACTTGCTATCATTACATGTGCGAACGGCGGCTATTCCTATATCTCCAGAGTTTTAGAGAACCATGCAGTATTTGTTGAAATTATAACAGCACCAATCACATTCTACTGAAAGTTACTTGGTCGTCTTATATATCGTCACCCGTTTTCGCGAACTAACACTCACATGCTAGTGGGTGTTACATTGTAGTTTGTGAAAACCGTGTTATCAACAATTTCGGTTTCACGCACTAACACCCGGTGTGCGTGCGCCCATTCACGAACTAAAACTCAAGCTTGTTGCGGAAATACAATTTGGAGAAAAACGCTTTGAAAGGTTTCACACAATTTAATCTATCCGTATACTTGTGAACTTACGCATAAATTGAATTAAAAACCTTTCAACTAGTGAAATTAAGATCAGTGTTAGTTAGTGAAAAAGACAATGTGTGGAGTCACTACCAGGTGTTCATGAAAATGAAAATAACGCGTACCGTGCACTCACGCGCAACTGAGTGTTAGTTCGTGGTGTCGGTGACGATATATAATAAAGGTTGCTGTATTTTAAGTGGAATATCTTTTAAGCAATATTGAACAATGTCATATTCTCAAACAGTACTCCGTAGTTTACAAATTGAGTATTTTATTACTTTTTAATTAATATGAAAATAAACTTCTATATTTTCGATGGATGGCTGACATTTGTATAAATTGTATTTCAAATTTTCAAAGAGATCTGAAATTTGTATTAAATTTTCTCAACCAAAACATGTGGATTGCTCCTTTATTTCTTAATTATGTTTGCATGCCATGAGCATTATGTTCTAATAAGCCTTTTCGGAGTTCCAACTGCGCGCATTCATAACCTGTGACAACGCACATTGTTTGTCTCAAATGCCCTTTGACAGTACCCACAATGCACAAACAGCCTTTTTGTAAAGTCAGTGGCGCGATGTTGTCAAAGGCCATTTGAGACAAACAATGCACGTTGTCACAGGTTACGAATGCGCAGTTGGAACTCTGAAAAGGCTTATACTATACATTGTACAAATTGTGTGGTGTACAGCTTTTAACCCTAACCCTGCCAGACGCAACACAGTGCATGAAGTGTAAAGTCTGTGAAACCTTGCTGCATTGAGCCACCAACACCAGTGAGTAAATGGCCAAATCTGAAACCATAAGAGCTAGTCCCATTGAACAATGCCACAGTTGTATCCTGCTGTAGTTGGTGACCACAGACTCTGGGGTAGTGTCCTTGTGTGTGTTTTTGACCTAATAATGGATCTTGCTACACTGAGCAGGCTTGTCATTTTGACAAGTGCTGCATGTTGCTGTGTCCTGCAGAAAAAATCTGCACGAAAAATCTGTGAAAGAGGGGTGGTCAATTCTACATTCAGTGCTGAACCAAGGGGGGGGGGGGTGATCAAAATTCTAAAATTGGATTCAGTTACTATGGGGTATATAGGGTTCAAGGATTGTGTCTTCAAGCTACATGTACTATCATCTGTGTCTTGTGTCATCATAGTCCACTAACTCCTCATCGGTTTCATCCCCCGCCTCGCCGTCCTCTTTCCTCCTCGCTTCCTCCTCTAAATTCCTCCCGAACATCTGAAACTCCTCCAGCGATATCCCAGCGCATTTCTCAGCAAACCTGGCATCCGGGCAGTCCACGATGCGGCAGAGTTTGGGATTGTCTACGCGGGTCTTGCCCTGCTTGTTGGGCATCTCGTAGATGCCCAGTTTCTCCAGGACCAAGTGACGTCGTTGGATGTGCTCCAGAGGATACTTGAAGAGATTGGCCTGCACCATGTCGGCTTGGCTCTGCAGTCCCATGCTGAAGTAGACATACTGAAATCGGTGCTCTGTTGGAAAAGAAGAAATACATTTAAAAAAATTAGATAACTGATTGCATTAACTTTTGCTCTCCATGAACGATCGTCTTTAAGAAGGGTTCATCAGCATTGTTAGAATGGCCATAAAAAAAAGTGCTGGGGGGGGGGGGGGGGGGTTGGGGGGGGGGGGGGTTGGAGGGGGGGGGACCGCATCTGATACAACAGGGTGCTGTTCATCTTAATCCTGTAGATACCCAGATGTGAACTTCAAGCTATTTGTTCCAAGTGAAAATCTTAAATGGTGTATGTGGTTAATGAATAATCAAAGTATGAGAATGAATCAGTTGTAGGCCAGTTGTTTTCTTAATTATTAATACAGGTTCTCTACAGGCACTTTACTACGATTGCCTCTCCCCATCCATGAGTATAAATGGGTACCTGTGAAGGTAGAGACCATATTGCGCGGATCTTCTTGAGCTGCTGTAGGGTCTCATTCCTGATGAAAATACCCTTATAAATGCCAAATATAAAATGAACAAGCAGATTTTGACAACAAAATAAGGGATTCCCCCTTTAACCACAACCCTGCTAAATGCAACAGAAAGCAACAAAGGGAAAAGGTTGTTGCATACTGTTGCATTTAGCAGCTAACTCAAGTGCCTCTGCTCTGTTGCATCTTGTTGCATTTTGGTAGTGTAAGTGCTCATATTCCCAAGGTGATACAACAGAATCTACTGTTACATTTGGTTGCATTTAGCAGGGCAACTGCTTGGTGCCAAGGCTAGTGTGCACTTGGTTCACTGCACATTGCAACAGAATCCACTGTTGCAGTTTGTTGCAGTTAGTAGGGTAACTGCTTGGTGCCAAGGCTAGTGTGCACAGGGTTCACTGCACAATGCAACAAATCCACTGTTGCAGTTTGTTGTATTTAGCAGGGTTCTCATTTGAGTTGTGTTGGATATTGTAACAAACATTTAGCAGGGTACGTTAAGAATATCCGATGGGGGGTTAGGGTTAAAAGGGTCAATTATATGTACTTCTTATTTTGCGGATTCCATCTAGCTCAGGCATTGCTTGTGCATGTACGCAAGAAACATTAAATAATATGTGCCTCACTTAATCATGTCTTCCAACTACACTTTACCGATATCAGCTGGTTCACTGTCAAGAACCTGCGGAGAACTGATGATGATCTCCGTAATCTGACGGCCAGAGAACTGGCACTTCTTCAGCATTTCATGGGATCCATTCAGCCTGTTCTTCTTCAACGTCAGTACACCCGGCCAGGCAGTTATGACCCTCTGAAGACTGCCCTCTGTCAGCCCGAGTTTACGCAGCCTTCTGACCCGCTGCTGCAGTAGCTCCAGGCCGGCGTTCCAGATTTTAGGACTGCGGTCCAGTACGAGTAAGGCTCGGTTTCCAAACAGGCGCAACTCGTCCAAGTACTGGATGTTTTGCATCAAGACGTCCCATCTAGTGTTCAAGACCCTGGGGTTTGAGCGTAGAAAGGCGTAAATATTCCTAGGTTCGGCTTTCATGTCGGTCAGTCTCCGTGCGAGCTCTTCGACTTTACTTTCTGCATCCTCTTTGGCAATCTTGACCTTTGAGAAGTCGGGAGTCGACAGGAGTTCAGTAACATGCTTAAGGAACCTTTCCAAGTCCTCATCATCTTTGATGAAAGTTACAATGTCATCACTACTGTTAGTTCTCCTTAATGCATCTCTTTTTGAAGCAACAGCCCCTTCATGAAGTGAAGCAAAAGACTGAACACACAAGTGTGCAGTGTATCTCTCAAGTGCATTATGTTTTAACAATCGTGGGGCAGGCCGAAGTGTGCCGTTACAGATGCAAGCACTTGCATGCCTGAGTATGCAGGGCCTGATATTTGGCAAGGACAGCAATGGCTGATGACCATGTACATGTATCACTGGGGATACCCTCCTAAGAAACTGTCCACATTGTCCAAACTCCGCCAGTGTCTCGATGAGCAGCCTTGCCATTCTGTTTCTAAACTAGAAGAAGAAGAAAAAAAGTATTGTAAATGAAATTTCAGTGTACATGTACATCTGAATGAAACTTAAAATTCAAATACAGTACTTAACTTAATTCATGAGCTGTTCCAATTGCTAAGTTTCAATGAAATCAAAAAAATTGGCATGACTAAATGATTTTAGGCCAAATAAAAGGCACCAGTCCATAATTTATTTCATCCAAAAATACTGGATTCCACTTTTCTCATATTAAACATACATTTGCCATATCGGGAAAGTTCAGTGTTTGTAATCAGATTTTTAATTCATCAGGTCGAGTGGTCGAGTGTTAATGACACAGGTTCATGTCTACGCTTTTTTTTTCTTTCCTTTTTTTAAATATGAATTTACTTCCTGTTTTGTTTTTATTCAAAAATGCAAATCTTCTTGTCTCTAAAGTAACACTAGAATTCACCTTGTCTTTCTGACTCATGGCTCAGGTGATCTCCGAGGCTCTGGACATGCTGGAGGATTTTTTTAAAAAGGGAAATAAAGTCCGAAATCTGTACTAGTTGAAAAATAGTAGCCTCCACTCCAGCCTGGTTATATTAAAAATGCCCCATAGGAAAGTGCACAAGGTACCCTAGATAGTTGTGTAATAAAAAATATCGCGTCCCGGTGTCATATGAAAATCGGACTCGTATGAAAATCGGACTCTTTTTCCCTTTTATTGGTTAAACCCTCTCATGTGACCAGCCCCTCTCCTAATTATCTATGCATGAGCATGCGCAATACCACCAATGAGTCCGTATTTCATAAAACCTAAATGTGGAAACAGGTCAACTCGTACGCGAACCAACTCGTACGCGAGACAACTCGTACGCGGATTGGTCAACTCGTACGCGAGACAACTCGTACGCGAACCAACTCGTACGCGGGCCGAAATAGGAGTGGTTTCGAGGATTGGGTTGGCATGGTTGGGAAGAATTTGGGAAGAGTGTGACGGAAGAATCGGGTAGTCCGTAGTTCAGTGTATGACCGTTGTGTGTGATTGGGAGTGAACCCGTGAATGATGATAATAAAGTAACTGATTTTTGTATATTTTTCGTGAAATTTCCAGATTCATTTTTATACACGTTTGCGTATCAAAATTTCAACATGAAATTTCACAAAAATTAGACATCTGAAAAAGGCAGCACTTTCTGACTAGCCTATAAAGAGGGTGAGTATGCTTGTAAAGCAAAAAAATCCTACAAACTAAGCCTAAATGTGAAAATCAAAATTTGGCAAAGTCGACACGATTTTTGTACATGTGGATGTGTGGCCTAGGAAAAAATTCCATACTCGGACGTCACTTTTTTCAATTAATTTTCTAGCGCCAAAAGTTACATCTTTTATGGTTATTCCTCCACTTTCCCTCCTCTACTCTCACCCTCTCCTTTCCTTAATTTCTATTTATTAATCAGTCAGTTACTTCATCGGGATTCGAACCACTGACGCTTGCTTGACACACGAGACTCTTAACCGCTAGGCCGCGCACGATCGCTGTTGCAATAATCAATCTTTGGACGTATTTGAAGTATCCATTGAAATAAACTAAATATTCATGAGAAAATAAATATTCATAATGACGTATTGCATTATCATTGGCAGGCTCATGCGACGTCATGGTTGTTGATGTCACGTGTATAACGTACCGCTGTCTTTCAGCCACTACAATCAGTTTTGACCGGCTGCTTCAAGTTAGTTCTGCACGACGTATGCATCCAAAATGTGCTCTAAAAACACATTTTGAGTAATTTTTTTTCACCTTAACACAGCTTCCTGGATTTCTCTTGGTTCAAATGACAAGGTGAGGTGACAATTAATATGTTTGGCAGCAGATAAATTGGCATCCGAGTATGGAACTTTTCCCGTGGCCTATGTTTACGGAGGCAGTCCAGTAAATAGGCCACATTTATGGGGCTATATTCATTCATGCTACACCGGACCTGTATCTATTAACCCTTACTCTCTGAGGGTAGTTTACTGCATGTCAGTTGGTTATGCCAATGCCCTCCAGCTGCAGTTTATTGGAGGATACTTTGATGTAGCAGTGATAGGCATATGTATAAATTTTTCAGATACATTTATTAGATTAGTGATTTATCTGGTTTGAAAGAGCAAGTCAATAGCTAAATTTTAATGTAAATATGCATTCTGTGGGACGTCAGATTGCTGCGATACAACGATTTTAACATGAGCATGTCGTCACCTTATATAAACACTTAATTACACGCGTTTGCATATGACAAATGTGTAACACTGCAATGCTAATTAACCAATGCATAACTATGTATACTGTAGTACATATGCATAGTTTTTACAAGGCATCATTATGTACAAGGCTACTTCTCCATGTTTAATAACAGTTTTCATATGTGGTCTGCTTTTTAAGCCGAAGGTCAACAAATTGTTCATGGGTCAAAGGTCACAGGTCAAAGGTCACGGGTCAAAGGTCACGGGTCAAAGGTCACGGTGAAGTAAAAAATGATGGTTTTATAACTTGTATTTAATAGTAACGTCCAGTGATGACAATACAAAAAAGTCAGATAGTCCAAAGGTCAGGTCAAGGTCGAGGTTTGGGGTCAATCTGCAGAGGTCAAAGGTCAGGGGTAAAATATTAATACACTTACAATTGAGCATAACACATAACAATAAGCCTCTGTACTGACGATGTCACACATTGTGTACTTTTCCATGAGGCTACAAAACGGTGGTCCCCACCAGGCCGGCTGCACACATGTAAACAAAGTATCACATCATCAGTACAGAGTCTTGAGTCATGACCAAGGTGAGAGCTGAAAAGATGATTAAGAGGCAAAAAGGTTAACATTTTAGTTTTCTTAAAAAAGTTAAAGCAACTTCTGACACACTTTAAATTACAAACATACCTTGAACGACTTACAACTTACATTTTCAGCAGGATTTTCTTTGATTTTATTGTTTTACAATACAAATCAAGTATTAAATTTGGATACAAATGGGCTTGGTTATTTCTCTAGTATTATTTTTGTAAATAAAATTCTACCTACCATAAGTCTTCAAGTAAATTTCAGATCTCCACTTCTTATATCAGCAATGATTTCTGATAATTCTAAATAAACATTCGCCAAACTGTCTTCTCCATGTGTTTCCTGGTACTCTATCAAAAACTCATCAGTGCCTTGCACCCTTGAAGCAATAACCCCTTCCCACCAAACCTCTTCTTTTTCTTCTTTCCACAGGTGAGTGATAGTTCTTCCAATCAGTGATGATGGGTTTCCCAGGATTTGTTTTATGTGTGTGGAGTCAGATAAACTGGAAGCCTGGATCAGTTTTAACAAATTTGCTTGGAGTGTTTCCAGCGAATGTGTCTGTTTGTTACTGTTAGCAGAAAATGCAAATAGTTCTGGTCCAGCTTTCTGCTGAAGAATTTTTTTGCGTACATTTAGCTGTAACTTAACAGCAATCACCTGCTGTGTTCTGGACTTGTCTTTCAAAAGTTGATTCATGTCCTTTTCAGAATGTGCCAATGTCATCCATTTTCCTACAAAAGAAATAAAGATGAAACGTCATAATTTTGGAGATGCCATACATAAATCTTGACAATCCAATTGATATAAAATTAAATAATTCTTTTTAACAATATTATCAGGAAAGCCTTCTCATATTAAAACTAGTTTGGCCATAAAGGCAACCACAGAAAACAAAATGAGCAGGGGTTCCCCTGCCGGTGGTAAATCCATTTTTGACTAATAGGTCTAAAGTTCCAAACAAATTAAACAAATGCAAACTAAACACCCACCATTTTGATGGGCGGAGATTCTATTTTCAGACGAGCGACACTAAACAACCATTACTGAAATGTGATAGTGATAAACGGCTGTTTTATGTATGGTGTTCAGGGCCATTTTTTCGTTACGCGTTTCCATAGGCATTTTGCGCTGGAAAATGAACAGCGCCCTCGCGCGGTAGCGCGGTCGCCTAGCAGTGAAGGCTCCAATTGGCAGGAGTTGGAGGCCCTGGAGGGTGCCTGATACTGACCAGCTGGGGGCACTTGATTGTTATCAGAGGACTCTCATTGTTCTCTGTGGCATGTATTGGAGTGCCTGTCCAGTTACCCTTGAAATGACATGGCAGATATTGGAGGGCCATGCAAAAAACATAGGAGATTTTCTTGAGGCACATATTGGCATGCGTTGGAGGGTCTAGTAGTAGTAGGGTAAGGGTTAATATGTGCGGAAAAATGAACAGCGCCCTCTGTTGGTTTTACACGCGCCTATCTATTGTCCGGAAACTGGGCACGATGTTAAAGTTGGAGAAATATGGATAGAACGCACATCACTCCTTCCAATTCTAACCAAAAAACCAATGCCTTAACAGAAAAAACTATTCAAGTCATTTTAATGACAAAATAGGAAAGAGTGAAAAAATACCTGGCATTTCGGCAAAGAATGCGCCTGACGCCTGACATGTGATCGTGTTTTGTGTTTTGGCTCGGATACAACCTTTGAACTTATCACTCTTTCAATCATGTATGTATAATGTATCCATACATATTTCATTTTTTTCCACCACTACGCTAAAATCAGATTTAAAAAATATTTTCTCACAAAATATTTTTATTAAATCAATGAATGGCTTTTTTTTACAATATTATTACAATATTATAAATTAATTGATTTGAAATATTGACCAGTAACGGGTTTCACGTGCTGATTTTGACGAGTCGATCTTTTTCGAGTGAAACACGGCAAACGCAAAATGGTATGCTCGAATCTGCGAAGTTTTTTACTTAAATTCGCCACTTCATAAGCAAATTTATATCAATTTAAACGGTCCAGGTGATGAAGAATAATTTGTTGGAAATACCCATATACATTTATACAAAGAATGTAATTGCACAACCTAGAAAATATGACCTTTTTTTAGTTAGTTTCTAGAAATAAATAAAGTTACCCGTGTGAGGGCGCTGTTTGAAACTGAAAGGGTTACATTGGTTATTGCCAAACTGTAGGCCCAGTATGGTGTATATTTTTGGGGGGTTGGGGGCTCGGCAGTTAGCGCCACCACTGTTCGGTACTTCGGATGTATCTCATTCCCTTTCATGCCTTTGGGAGTAATTGCAGAATAGGGGCCTACCTAGCCCCATAAATTACATGTAAATGTGGCCTATTTACTGGACTGCCTCCGTAAACATAGGCCACACATCCACATGAACAAAAACGTGTCGCACTTTGCCAAATTTTGATTTTCACATTTAGGCTTAGCCTTAGTTTGTAGGGTTTTTTTTGCTTTAGAAGCATACTCACCCTCTTAATTATAGGCTAATCAGAGAGTGCTGCCTTTTTCAGATGTCCATTTTTCGTGAAATTTCCAGATACATTTGCTCACGTTTGCGTATCAAAATTTCAACATGAAATTTCACAAAAATTAGACATCTGAAGAAGGCAGCACTTTCTGATTAGCCTATTATTTATAAAGAGGGTGAGAATGCTTTTAAAGCAAAAAAACCCTACAAAGTAAGCCTAAATCATCATTATGTGAAAATCAAAATTTGGCAAAGTGCGACACGTTTTTGTACATGTGGATGTGTGGCCTATGTTTACGGAGGCAGTCCAGTAAATAGGCCACATTTATGGGGCTAGGGCCTACACCGCTACGCGGAAATTACCTTCTAAAAATAAAAGGCTACACAGTCGGAAAATGTTGCAGAAATGTCCAAAGTAGGCCTAGGGCCTAGGCCTACTGGCCTAGGCCTACATGTAGATGTCGGGAAGTGGATACGCGGATACAATCTACGGCATGTACGGGGTGGATTAGAGCGGTGGAGGGTCTAAAGAGGGCGCTATTTCTCTGTAATAAGAAATGCGGCCAGCAGGGATGTTGAATTGAATGGGGAGCAGGGGTTATATAAATCTAAGTGGGCTCGGCAGGTAGCGCCACCACCATTGTTGGGACGTATCTCATTCCCTTTGAGGACGTATCTCTTTTCCTGGGCCCTAAAATTGTATGGGTTTCGCGCTCCCAGGTTCAGCTACTTTTAGCTACTTTTTAGAGCTCCACTCATACCCCTGGGACATGACAGATGCCTCACCATTTTAAAGGGTTGTGAAATCTTCAAAGCCTAGAAATCTTAGGTGGTTGTTAATTTGTTTCATGTTATGTTTGTGTTTTTCCATCAGCCGCCCAAGCAGCAGCAGAAAGGGAAGGACTCGGGCAAGGGAAAGACCTCCCAGAAGAAGCCCACATCTGGGGGAGGCAAGGCTAAGAAGAAGGTCAGTATTAGGGCTGTGTTATTAGTAACGTAGTCATCGCTGGTGACTATTGATGAGAAAGATCAGAGATTTTAAAGTCTGATTAGGCCACAAAAAAAAAGGATCCGGTTTCTGGTATGCGCGCGCGTCGCCGTAGCCATGCGCGTCGGCAAATGAAAATTTTTTTTTTTTCAATAAAAGATGATGTCTCAAAACCGCCAAACTCACTGGTTTGACTGGAATCCTGCTGCTGCACAATTTTAACGTGTTTTTAGATGAGTTTATGATCGAGAATAAGCTTTATGTGGCCTCTCTGGACTCCCATATATTTGCACTAAGTTTAGTCGGGCACCATTTGCAGTCATCAGACGACATTTGAAGCAAAAAAAACCAGGTAAAAAAAAAAAAAAAAGCCGCGTCGCCGCACCACTTTTTGGGCAAGCTCCATACCAGAAACCGGAGACCTTTTTTTTTTTGGCCTTATCCTCTTTTTTTTTTCTTTTCTTTTTTGTTTTTTAGATTAATGATTATCTTTTCCCATTCAGTGGAAGATCCCATTTTTGCTATTCATGAACCAAAAACACTGCTAGCAAGTGAATGCGGTACAGTCCAGAGACCATGGAGCAAATCGGGGATGTTTCAGTTGTTTTCACTAGCTTGTCTCGAAAAATAGAAGGCCTATGTTTTTTTAAGGCTGGTTTTGAATATTCAGTTTCCAAAATCCAAATGAATATTGGAAGTCAAACCAAATAGTTAAAATAAGGATTTTATTCCCACTGAATTTGTATCAAGAATCCATTAAAATTTATTTTTGAAATGCTTTTCAACAATGAGCTCAACTTTATTCTCTTTCTGAGCAGAAGTGGTCCAAGGGCAAAGTGCGTGACAAGCTGAACAACCTGATCATGTTTGACCAAGCCACGTACGACAAGCTATACAAGGAAGTACCCAGCTACAAGCTCATCACCCCCTCCGTGGTCTCGGAGAGACTCAAGATCAGAGTGTCGCTAGCCAGAGCCGCGCTCAAGGAACTGCTATCTAAGAGTAAGTGGACAGTTCATACGTCACGCGAAAGTGAAACCAACTTAATCTCATGATGTCAACAATTGACGTTTCATGGTTGGGTTCGCGGTTACCCTTCCAAATTTGCATCACACTGAAATTCACAAAAAGTACAAACCAGCTTGGTTCAATTCGGGCGATTCACAATGCAGAGCGCCACCAATAGTTTGCCACGAAGAATTCATTTTTCCCAGTGCATTGTGGGAGATGGTCGATAAATTCGCAGCGCGGGGCATTTGAAATTTTTTTTTTTTCTGGTCACTAGTTTCGTAAGCGTATGATTCCAGTTTATGTTTGCCTTTTTTTTTCTTTGTATCAATATGGTGATTTTTGGTAAGGCGGCAGAACGCTATGCCCCTATCTATATCGTAATAGCTCAAGTTGTCTTCTGACACTCATTCAAATGGGCCGTATTTTGTCGACCGTAAACTTGAAAAGTTGACTCTCCATGGCAAACTCTTGGTGGCGCACTGCATTGTGAATCGCCAAATTACCATAATTTAGCCTGTGGTAGGATGCTATCAACAGTTCCAAGTATACCTCACGGATACTACATATGCCCTTCAGTAGTTCTGGAGAGAAAGTTGGGGGGATAGCCAGGCATGCAACTTTTCCTCGCATCAGCTGATTTCCTCGTTTTTTACTTCTCATGAATGCCATTACAAATTGAAAAACACTGTACAAAGGCTTGTGTGGTTTGGAGTTTCCTCGTTTTTTTCTAAATTCCCAGTTGCATGGATAGCGCTTCATGGTTACTCACGAGAACTCCAGGGATAGAAACACAAGTCACGGAACACGTGTGCAGGCTGGTTTGCGGGTTTTTGGCCCAATGAACGCACGTGATTGCTCGATTCTGAATTTGCTCGAAACCTGTGGCATATTTGCAGGACTTAAGGTGCCATCAGCTGAGCACTCGAGAGTCCCTCCCTGCATTGCCCCCCAACTTTTTCTCGAGGAAATACTGAAGGGGATACTTGCAATGTGTGCACGCAGTCAATAAGGCTCCTCCCCCACCCCCCACCCCCCCACCCACCCACCCCCCCCCCCCCCCCCCCCCACACCCGGTAACCAGACCTACTTTGATTTTCTTAGGACAAATTGCCGACTTAAAAAATTTTATTTGGCTACAGATTACAAATTTTGAAAATAAAAAAGAGGCTTCCCCATGCGAGTTTTTTTTCTGCGTTATTGTTTAATCAACCAATTAAATGGGTTAATGAAACGGAATACTGTTGAATGTACCCTAAAGTAAACAAAGGAAGTATAAAAGACTGACAGACAGACCAACATTAAGCCTAACTCCCAAGGCCTTTTTGCTAGGATGTAGCTTCAATCCTGCAAAATCCTCCGATTGGCCTCATGGAAAAATAGCATATACGTATAGCCTCAATCCTGCAAATTCCTCCATTATTTCTTGAATATGGTCCGTGGAGGGGTGACCACTGCCTGAATCCTGCAAAATATTGCGCCAGTGACATCCTGGAGCAGTACGGAGGATTTCAAGCATAACCCAGGCCTATATTTATGCATGGCTGAGCAAAAAACATCACGAGGTCCGGCCCAAGATCTTGACAAAGTGCATCCTACGAAATCAGAGTCATTTTTTGCCATGTAACCTCAATCCTCCAAATTCCTCCACATTCCTCTCTACCTGAATGATGTTTTGGGCGTTACCGTAACACAGAATTCTGTTTGCCTTAGAAAGGGTTGTCTGAATGGCATAGAGCCATTTTCTCATTCTTTGTCTTGGTTTCTTTGGCCAGATCTCATCAAGGAGGTAGAGAAGCACCACGCTCAGCTCATCTACACAAGGAACACCAAAGGTGCAGATGAGGTCGCCGACAAGTGATCACCGTTAAACCCCAGCCTAGGACCCAGCCTAGGACCCTCAACCCATCCCAAGGGCTCGGTGTTGCAAAAGCACCCCTCGGGAGACACCTGCGTACTCACAGCCACGTCTCTTGCAACATTCTCATCAAAACGCGATCCCAAGGTTCGGTAAATTTGTTGCATGCAAAGCTTAGGTTTAACCTCTGGGTATCACGGTTACTGCACCCAACAGCTTACCATGCAAAAAAAGACTATAAAGTCATAGGCCCTACATTTTTTTCAACGATGAAACTGTTGCATTTAACACGGATAATTCGTCAGATTATGCTTGCATAAAATCTGGTGAAGTTGTCTGGTTTTTCTTAGCAATCACATTTTGTGTGACAATTCGGAAATAAATATCCCATGCAACTTATGGGAATGTGGATAACGTGAAATGTTTTCTGTTGTGTAGTGAGTTTCTTATTTTGGTTATTTGCATTAATAATTGGGAATTGCGGATCGACAGAAGAAAGAAAAATGAGGGGTCGTGTAACTTCATCATTGCAAATTTGCTCACCTATGTCCATACAGTTGTATTTAAAAAACTAGAGAGCGTACTCGCTATACGTAGATGTGCTTATGAGGACGGGCTACATTTTCTGAGTGGGCATATTGCGCAGAGTGTTAATTAGAACATAGTGCAATGATTGTGATATACCCAGATGTGCGTTTTGTTGTGCCTACTCAAAAAATGGCGTAGCATAGCGAGTGAGCTCTAGTTTTTTTTAAATATAACTATGCCTATGTTCAGGCATGCAACTTTTCCTCGGATCCGCTGATTTCCTCGTTTTTTTACTTCTCACGAATGCCATTACAAATTGAAACACACTGTACAAAGTCTTGTGTGATTTGGAATCTTGTTTCTTCTAAATTCTCAGTTGCATATTCCTACTCCTAGCGATTTGAATTACCAAAAACTTAGACAAACACGTACTCCAAGTTATGCCTCACATTTATTCATTCCTGCCTAGTTAAAATCAACAGTAAAACATCCCATAAATATACACATACATTGCCTAGTTGCCAACATGATTGCCGTTACCTGGGCCCAATTTCATAGCGCTGCTTAACAGCCGACTTTGTGCTTACCGAGCCTCCATCTATTTCATAGGGACCGTTAAGCAGTAAGCACAGCAAAAGCAGGCTTAACCTCGGAAGAAAACTTTGCTTAAATCAGTGACGTAACAATAGAAATCTCCATGCACGCGCAACTGTAAGCACATTCACGGCATGAAATAGTGCTTATGCAGCATGATTTTTCTGCTATAGTAAGCACAACTTTTCTGCTTACTGTTAAGCAGTGCTATGAAATTGGGCCCTGTATAGGTTCATTGGATCTTAAAGTTAAAATAATGTTAAAAACACCTGTGCCCTATAGATTGGGCTTGCATTGTTGATAGGATCATGGAGCTATGTGTTTTATAGCTCCATGATAGGATTAAGAGCAATTTAAGGTGAGACGTTTACAGATTGTGAACTGCAACATGATACTAATTTAACCAATCATGTGCATTGAAGCGGTCACATCTACGGCTGTCCAAAATATACCGAATATCATCAACCGAATATTCGAATAGCTTTTTGCCAGTTATAATATTTGAAAACATAAAAAAATACCAACCTACACACACGACTGATGTTATTTTATTGTAAAAATCTACGGCGGTTCATTGTTCCCATTCGATCAGCAGGTTAAAGGGAAAATACAACATTTGTAAACATCAAAAAATAAAACTACCAAATCATTTTGAAATACCTTGCTGGACTGTTAGTGAATGACAGTGTAAAGCATCCTGTAAAATCATGGCACCTGGTATACTGTCATTTTCAAGAAAAGTGGTATTTTTGTATCAATTTCCAACGCTGATCGGCCGACCAGCGTTGGAAACAACTGGCTTTTTTTTCAAATACTGGCCCCAATTGACCATCGCACTTGTTTGCAATCGATTCCAAACCTATGAACGGGTACGAGGCAGCTAGACTGGTTCCCTGACCTTACAATTCCCCAATGTATGTAAACTGCTCTGTTTCTTCTTATATGGAGTCAGGGAACCAGACTACAGGAAAATGATCGTTTTTCTTGGTTTTTATAGCATTTTCGAACCCAAAACCTCAAAAAAATCAGTGTAACTATATTTGCTATATATTTCCAACCCCCCAATTCCATCCATTTCTGAAAATTACAGCAAAAGCAAATGATGTATATTCCCTTTTAAAGCCCTTGGCAGTTATAAAATACTGCTAACCACTCATATTTTAACTGGCGCGCTCTGTGTGCAACTTTTGACCGGCGTGACATGCAGTTGCAGGTGGCGGTCTCGAATATCCGAGTATTTGATCAAACGCAGTTTTAAGTAATCAAATGTGATGCGATCAGGCTAAATGAGTCGTTTGTCGGGAATTTTCATTAGGAGATTCAGGCCAAATTAGGACCGCTTCATCACATCACTTCATCACATTTCTTGCTGTTCCGACTTCCATAATTTTTGAACTAAAGATGGTACCAGCATGCAGTTTGTACAGCAGTAATGCGTTTTGAAATCCAACCTCAAAGCGTGCGACATCCCCACTGACACCCGGGAGGGGCTAGCACTAGCGCCAACCAATGCCATTAACTACAGAGAGAAAGGAGATCCGTCGAATACGACAGCTCAGTCCATCATCATCATCATCATCAATGCTGAGATTGTGCTCTTTTCAAATCTGTAAAAAAAAAATGACCAAGGTACATGTAGACAAACAACTCACTTAGCTTGATCGCATCACAAATCAGGCATGCAACTTTTCCTCGGATCCGCTGATTTCCTCGTTTTTTACTTCTCATGAATGACATTACAAATTGAAAAATACTGTACACAGGCATGCAACTTTTCCTCGTATCAGCTGATTTCCTCTTTTTGTACTTCCCAAGTGTGCCATTGAAAATAGAAAAACCACTGTACAAAGTCTTGGGAAAATTTGAATTTCCTCTTTTTTTGTGACTTCCCAGTTGCACGCCTGTGTACAAAGTCTTGTGTGGTTTGGAGTTTCCTCGTTTTTTTTCTAAATTCCCAGTTGCATGCCTGACAAATACTAAATAATTAGAAAATGGACAGCCCTTGTCAGATCATTAGATATACTGTCTAAATTAGCAAAATGAAACGATATCTCTCTTTTTGGCCATAATATGTGATCCTACGTTCAACAAGGAACTATGCAAGTCTAGAGATTAACAACATATAACACATGTCGCCTGCCCTTAAATTAATATTCCAGAGCTTAAGATTATAATAAATAGGGCCAAATATTGGCAATAATAATAATAATCGTAGTGCTTTTTTTAGCGCTTTCCATCGTATCAACAATCTCAAAGCGCTTTACAATTACATGTCTTAGTGTCCGAGAGAAGAAAAAAAATGACTCTATTAGGCCAAAAAAAAGAAATGTTCGGTCTCTGGTCAGACCAAAGTTCCGGAATTGACGCGGGGACGCGGCTTTTATTTTATTTTTTTTTGCTTTTTTTTTTTCTTCAAGCTTGGATTGTACAGACAAGGTGGGGTACTATTTTGCTTTTTTGGTGTCCTCATGTACATTGGTGTCCTCCATAATTTGCCTTGGTGCTCTCGATCATTTGCCTTGGTGCAATTTCCCATTCCTTGGTGCTCTTTGGTAAAAACAAAATTGAGGAGGTGCGGCAATAGGAGCTGTTGGAGCTACCACGGATCATTTTGGAAAAAAAAAGATTGACGCGCATGATTAAAATCGACGCGCGCGCTGACCGACTTATTATTTTTTTGGGCCTTAGAGTCATTTTTTTTTTAAACTGGAATGATAAAAACGAGGGGACGGGCTCAAAATACAATCACAAAATAGTGTTAGAAATGGAAATGATCCCCAAATGTAAATGATCCATTATAAATCGCCCTGTAAGTACAGAATCTCTGGTAACCGGTTCCATAGCAGAAACTTCTGTGCATAACAGTTTGCATATTTCGCAGGTTAACCAAGGAATAGGTAGGTCCTACCAGTGCAGTTTGTCATCTGCAGAGGAGGGGACAGCATTCCTCAATCATTTTTGTGCAAACATTAAAAAGACTGGAAAAAATGTTGCAACCTTGCACCACTTTTCTCTTCATAATAACATCTCAATAAAGGTCATTCATTGCAAAAATGATGATAAGACATGAATCTGGGACTGAGAAATATTTCCAATTTTGTTAGGAAATACTGGGAATATTTTCTTGACTCTCCATTTCTTCGCCGAAGTGGCGTCAGTTTGCAACATTTTTTCCAAAAGACTGCTTGATAAAGTCGTCAACATTGTATTACTAGTAAAACCATAATCACATCTGTACTTGGTGCGTCATTTGATTGTATCCACTGAAAATGTTACTGTTTATAAGCACGTTACAAGGGTAGTATCTTGTATCATACATAAGTGTGATAAACACTTTTTGTCATCTTGGGGGCAGAGCCATTTGTCTCTGAGCTCTTGACAACACGCGGTAGTTCTCTGTCTCCATCCACCATCTGGGGTGGTCTATACTGTGGCCACTGAAGGGTCCTTGATACTGAGGGAGCACCGCGACCGCCCCTCTCTGAGAATTCCAAGGCAAGATCTGCCACGGATCTGAAACTGGACTGCCGACTGTTGCAGGCACACATACTGTCAACGCTGCGCCTGCCCTTCTGGTTTCGCGTAAAGACAGGGTTATCATAGGTGAAGGTGCTGCTTGATATCGAGATGTTATCACCGTCTAGATTGTAGGAGTCCTTCAGGACCCCTGCCAGTTCTTTCTCCGTGTCTGCGATGACCATGTACATCGGTGTGGTGCGGCAGGAGTGGAGGTCATGGGCTATGGCTTCCCGGAGGTTCAGCGACAAATCAGCAGCCTGATGAAGCTCATGGGCGATGGACTCGCGTAGGTCTTCAAACTCCTTGACGGATTTCACGCTGCCGATGCTTCGTATGCTCCCGCCTTCCCTGCCGTGCCTGCGTTTCAGGTGCTGCCGCTCCAGTGCAGCCACGTTGTACTTCAGGGACAACTTGTGAGGATCGTGCTCCGGTGTCCTCTCATTTTCGTTGATGTCGCCATCCCGTGGCTCGTCCTTCACCACGTCAGGGGGGCGCACTCCTATATGGTCGTGGTCCTCCTGGCAAGTGGAAGAGGAGGACATGTCAAAGTCGCAGCCGCTGTCCTGGCGCATGTCTGGATCCACCGAGAGTAGTCGCAGCTTCTCTTTGGCTGATCCCACATGTTCATGGAGAACCTCGATGGTGTTGTCTTTCTGTATGCAAGACCATTGGGAGAAACAAAATTAAATGACCATATAAAATAAAGCTCTGGGATGTTAAGTTGTCTTACATTTACACATGAACATGTTGGTGTCAAACACTTTTCTTGTTCCTGCAAAACTTTGAGAGCCCACTTAACATCCCGAATGCATTGTTTATACCGGTAGCTTTGATACTTCTTGGTACAGTAGAACACCTTTATAACAAGGTCCTTGCACTTTTACTTTTAAAGTCTACATCTGAATAGACCTGAGACGTAATGACGTAATGACTTTGTTTACATATGCGCTTTCCTATGGGAGCGAAGTCGCCAGTCAGGACGCCAGATAAAGTGGGGACCATCTACTACATAGGAAAGCGCACATGTAAACAAAGCGTGACGTCATTACGTCTTAGGCCTATTGAAATTCACAGTCAGGTGAATGTGGTTCACAGTTCTTGCACTTTGTTAGATGACTGCTTTACAGTGTTACTTTTAGAATATTCAGATACAGCTCTTTACTCTAAGATGAATTTCCACTTTTTCATTTATAGTTATCTGAGTCATGCCTCGCCTAAAAAGTATGGAAGGCTTTGTGGATTTCGTTTATCCTGAGTTGGGAATGCCGTCAGTGATCCTCTCACCTCTGACAAGGACCTCTTCAAGGATGCATTCTCCTTGGACAGTAGAAATAGCTCTTCCTCAACCTCCGCCAAGGAGCGTTGCCGTGCCGTTGCTAAGTAGGATGTAGTCAGAGAGCGGGACATGCTGTAGCTAGCCTCAGGGTTGCTTCGCCATGCCCTTATCTAAGACAAAAAGTGTAGAAGATCAGAAGATTTAAATGTTGTCTGGCAATTTACACCCCTGTACCATCTTAATGCATACCGGTACTTCATTTTCATCCGTGTGCAGCCCAAGGTTAAGCTTTGGTTATAGGGAGAGCTTAAATGTGTTTCTAAAAGTGGCCTTTGACAGAATTACACCATATAATTCGCTAAACTACCCAGAAAAAGTCTTCTTGATCAAATAGCAAACCTTGAAAGAGTGTACACTAAACTCGCGGTTTTTTTTGTTGGTTTTAAATTTGGTCTTCAATAAAATTGGGTCTCGATCTGCAACTGACATTATCCCTCTTCATCCTTTATAATAACAACACCCCCCCCCCCCCAGTAGCCAACCCATGCACAAACTGCGACAGAAGAATCCAACACCCACCTTTGGAATGTACTGCAAAAGTAGCATCTCCGTGGGACAAATCAGCATGACCACCGACAGGCAGCAGTACCAAGCATTGGGCCACGCCTCTAGACTCGTCATCAACGCTGTCACCATGGCGACCAGGATGACACAGGTGTACACGCTGACTACAATACACTTGGCGTCGTTCATGGAGGGCACGGTGATGTTGCGGGTCTCCCAGGAGAGGTGGGTGCCTAGCAACAGGATGAAGGCCTTGACGGTGAAGAGGACTGTCATCCACACCTCTGTGTGCTTCGACTGGCAGACAAGGACTCCCTCTAGCGTGGAAGACGATGCATCGTCTTGGCGAGCAGTTAGAATCTGCATCAGAAGGATGACAACAGTCTTGAATGATTTTTCCCTCGTTTAAGTAAGTTTCATCATTTAGGGATGACATTAGATCAAATCATCAGCTTCAACTCAACTTGATGGCATTTGACAACACGGGGGGATGGTTGTGTAGTCTTCGAAACATTAAATCCCACCCACACCACTGTTCTAATTTACACTGCAACTACATGTAGATACACCCGAACTGCACTTGAGAATGGTCTTCAATGGCAAATTTGAAAAGAGGCACATTTCAGAAACCTTAGGGAGGTATACGTACTTTACCGCAAAAAGAGTCTAAACTGAAGGAAATTCCGCAGAAAATGTATTAAGTACAGCGGTAGGTCACTCAGGTCAATGAACAATGACCTGTATGAAAACTGAACTAGCAACTGAAACCCATTTTTTGAGAATTCCAAATCGGATAGATTAGAGGAAGTCAGCAAGTTTTTCTAAGCTTGTTTGGGTATGTGCCTCATCACAGCCTCTCCAGAGTGTTGAACACCTTGTCTTACCGTTTGCTCGATGTTCGGAGGGTCCAGAATCAGCCATAGTGCTAGCACCACGAAGTCGAGGAGAAGCAAGCTGCCAACCATCGTCATCAAGCGACCATCTCGGATCACCTGCAACACCCAAGAAGAAATTTGAGAAATCGGATATGCAGACAACATCCACTGGATGGATGTCGGTCACATCTCAAAGCCAGGGGAGTCAGTGTGGCGCAGTGGTTCTTTCCTCGCCTTCCACATCTATGGCCTGGGTTCGATTCCTGCCCTGGTCCACATGTGGATTGGGTAATCAGTCCCTGCCGGATTCCAAGGGTTTTCCCCGGAATATTCTTCTGGGGTTTTCCTCCCACATGCAAATCTGTAATTTCTTTTCATTGTCTTCTCTAGACAGGTTTCTTCGAGCTTGTGAGCTACAGTGCCCAGGGCGCTTTTGATGAATCCTTAATTGGGTTCATTACCAGAAATAGATACATGTAATTAATAATAAAGTAAGGTCACAAACAATTGGGCCAAGGGGGATAAACAATGACAAAGGAATGCCACTGTCAAAGTTTTCTTCAAGTTTGAATTACTGTATGGGTATGTGCTGATTCCTTGCTATCGACATTCAATTATGAAGACTTAGAGAAACCTTAACTTCTTTAACTTTGAAAGAAATGCCACATTTTTAAAGAAAACAAGGCATCGCATGCAAGACAAACCCATTGCATAAATAATTTATTCATTGAATTATATTTAAGGATGCCAAACGTAGCTTGTCAGATTTTCCAGAGCTACCAAAAATCGGCTCCCGGCGGGAGACGTCAGAAGAAAAAATCTTTGGTATCCTCAATGAAAAATCCATTGCCACACTATTACTCTGCCCCAACAGGCAGAGACCCATTCTCTTACCATTCTCTTGGTCGCAGCGTGGGCAAATATTCTGTAGACTCTCCACGCCTTGCTGAACATGGATCCATAGATTAACGTGAATCCAAGGGTTATCAAAGATACACGCACCTGTTATTAATTGATGGGAACAGGAAATTAGCAAATATCACAGCACGTTTTTAATGTTACAGTTTGTGTAATTTTCAAAAGGTAACGTTTAAAAGGCATATAGGCAAGGGCGGATCCAGAACACAATTTTTTTGGGGGGCCAACAAATTTTTTGGACCCCCAAAAAAGTGGGTCAAAAAAATTACGACGTGGGGTTCGGGGCCCGCTTAAGGGCCCCGAATTTTTTTTGGATTCTAGATGCCCTGTGGTGCGATCTGAGGCAATTTCTGACCACTTTAACCAATGTTTTTTCGAGGAAAAGATGGTGGTGTACTCATTGCCTGCCTTTATTGCGATGTCACATAAAAAAAAAAAAAATGGTCTCGTTTGGGGGGGGGGGGGGGGCCATGGCCCCCTTTGGCCCCCCCCCCTGGATCCGCCCTTGTATATAGGATCATTTGCATTTCATGCATTTTTTTTCTTTCCCAAAAATAACATCGCTCAAAATCCAAAGAATTTGAAAGCAAACCTGTTGAAGTTTCAGCTCAGTGGATAGGCCTCAGCCTATTAGGCCTGCACTTTTCAAGAAAACAGAGCAAAACCACGCACAACCTTTTGATCACGAAACACGATCTCGTCATTAGCCCTCTTAAGTATTCCAAAAATCGGTCAATTGACTAATCAAAAGTGTACGGAAAGAGAATATTGGAGGGGGGGATAAGGAAATGAAGATGCGTTAATATTTGTATAGAGTGCTTATATTATAAGAGGTACATTGTATCAAATCCTCACACACACAAAAATCTACAAAATTCTTCCCGTTTGTAAAGGGTAACACCAAAAGTAATTAATTGCCTGACGTTTTCAGAATGATACGTGCATTAGTCCCGGCCTTGTTGGCAGGAAACACACCCACCTGCTGGGCCTTCACTTCACCATCGACGGACGTTTCGTCTTCGCTGGCATTTTGTGCAAGGATATAATAATACTGAGTTTGGAAATGAGTTTGAGGCGGAGTAATCCTTCGAGGACGGGTGGTGAAAAGCGGGAATTACAAGTGTTTTAATTATTTTCTTGGCAGTTGTTTTTCATGGAAAAATTACTGAGCCTCACTTTCTGAGATAAGCAAGCAGACCAGGAGACATAACTACAATCACTAGCCTCCCCTCCCCCAATAAATAAATTTAAAAACAATTAGCAAATAAAAAACATTAAAAGTGATGTCCACATCAACCCATTCACAAACTAACAACCTTTTTTTTATGAAATACTCATCAAAGTATGAATTGTCATCGATGAAGCTGAAGATTGCTTGAACTTGATCATCCCCCCCCCCCCATTTTAACTATGCAATTAAACCACGTTTCTGTGCTCCACCTCTTGTTTGTGATTACCCACATATTAAAATGAGCCTGTTTTTTTTTAATAAATAAAAGGTGAGATTTTTTTCTGAGGAAGCTAGCTGGACTGTTCCACCTGCTTTCAATTTCCTCGCATTGTTCGATGCTTCCTTTGCTATCAACTTGTGCCCCGTTTCTTGAATGCATGCTGTCACATGCGAGTGATGATGATGATAATGATTTCAGAAAAGGCTTCGAGTGTTCCTTTCTTCTGCTACAAACAATGACATTTCGGAAATGGAGCCACGTCGACCTATAAGCGGGCGTTCTCTCTTCTTTTGTCACCGGGTCGGATGTGCGGATGTCGCGCCAGGCAGCCGGATGAGAATCGACTCCTCACAGTTTTTTGTGGGGGGGGGGGGCGGCATTTTTAGGTATATGTATTTTATCAATACAGCAGACACTTTTAGGTAAGAAAAATATGAATCTGAGCAAACTGAGGATTTGTGATCGAAAAAATACACCATTAAAATCAGTAAAAATGAAGGAGAGTGATGAGCCAAATAATGTGTTATATAGGCATTATATCCATGTACATTGTACATATGCATACTTTGGGCACTTTTTTTGGGGGGGGGGGGAGAAATTGGGAACTTTGCTTAACTCGAACTTCCGATATCTCGAAATTGTTATCCCTTGATATTTGACTCAATGTCGAAATTTCACTGTACGTAGGATATCATTTGCTTTTGTGCATTTTTTTCGTTGGAAGCAACAAAATTGCTCAAAATCTGTACAATGCAGTAGGGTGCATAACAATTAACTTGTTCATGTTTTAACTCAGTGGCTATGATATACATTTTGATAAAACAGAGAAAACACAGTATGTGGGGTATTGTAAGCCTGCACGCATACTGCTTTCAATGATTGCGTTCGTTTAATGATGCTTCTTTTTTTGTTCGCTTAAGCGCTTTGAGGAATCTTTGATTCATATTGCGCTATATAAATGTTGTTTTTTTTATTATTATTATTATTATGCCATATCAGGCGGAATACTTGCGCAGTGTATTTAGTATAACATTCCTTTGTTCAATTTGAGGAAGGTGTTCCTCATTAAATTGATAAGTTTGTTTCCGGGTAAATATCATAGTTCCCACACGTGCCTTTAATGACCCCCCCCCCCAAAAAAAAAATCATAACCATATTTTTTTGAGGACACAACATTTACGGAAAACCGCCTGATACCTTTATCGCGGTTTGACCTTTGTTTCCTCTCTTTGTTTCTCTACCCAACTTTTGGATATTCTTTTTTTTTCTACTGACGATTTTTTAAAATTTGTACGTTATATTTAACGAAATAAACAAAATACTATTCCTATTTTATACGTTATCAACCCTCTGAAAATAGTACTTTCATTTTATGTCGCGTTTGCGCCCATAAAATATGTGTGAATTTAAAAGTGACTCTTAAAGGTATAAACTTATTGCTAGAAAAATAACAATTTCAAAAACAAAATCTATTTTGGGGTTGCAACTAAATGAATTTCAATTGAATGCGTTTCTTTTCGACAACCTTTCTTCCAGGGAAATTTGGTCCGTTGTTGTACGAATTTTTTTTTTTTTATTTCACAGATCAAGTCTGAAATTCGGCTCGTAATTGGATGGCTTTGTCTGCTACTGAAAATACGTATATGCAAAAAAAATATTGTCTGCGGCACTCATATATTAGTTCTATTTAGGATATTAATAATCACAAATTTGCCCCCAAACATGAAAATCGAGAACTCGTCCCGCGTCAATTTTGGTCATTATTTTCATTTCAAAGCTTTCGCTGCAAGGACGCGTCTGGTTTTGACAGAAAAGGTAGTTGCATGCGTCATCACACGCGATAAACAAATACAGTGTGTGTCCACGAGGTCCTGCAGTTTCGAAAGGTTTTGTAATACAGGTTTGACATTTAGGCTTAGATATTTTTGTTATGATGCCGAAGAAATCCTTGGAATCAAAAGATAAATAAATAAGAGAAAAATAGTTGCATGGATCTCGCGTATACAATTATTTCCACCCATTTAATTAACACCTGTATGAATTTTTTTCACATTTGAGAAAAGACATAATTATATCGTGTTTTGTTCATTCGTTAGGGTGGCTTTCTCGTCTAAACACATAGGCCTACTCTTTTTAATCTCCTCTGCAAACTTTGTACTGGTCTTTTACTGTTCGTTTTTGTTGTTGGTATTTATAACATTGAGTCTTAGTTTTAATACTTTATTTTTGTATGTTCGTGTATTTGGGTGTTGGTATCATGTACATATTTCATAATCGTGTTTTCTTTTTCATGATTTGTTTGTCCGTCTGTTGTTTGTTTATTTTTATGTCTTGCTGTACGTCCGTGTCGCTCTGTCCATGGGATGGTTGCAGTCTTACCCTCCAGGCCTCCAGTCGTTTGTAGTGTCATCTTTTTAAACGTGACAGGGTCACATTTACACATCATATAGTGACGGCCTCTGTTCATTTTATAATTGCCATCATTTTATTATATAATATCCACAGTAATCACCTTGCAAAGAATCCCCAGTACGTCATCTGATGACGTCACACCTACGTCAATGCCGAACAGCACCACGCATGCGTAGATAAAAACGGCCCCGATGCCGATGAGGATGTTGAGATTGGGACTTGACATTTTTATGAGCCTGGAAAAAACAAAAACAAAGAAAATCAAAATATCTCAATGAAGATTCTTGGAATTCCTGTTCCTGGAAATTGATAAACAATTTTGTTGATTACATTAAAATGTGAGTAAAATGTTAAAGGGCTATTATTATGTTAAATTAAAAGAGCCAGTGAAGTAAGCTCACAAGTTAAAATCAAATCCACAACGTATATGGATTGTTGGCCTTGACGTATTTTCATTTATCTAGTTGCGTTTCCAAATATATGTAAATTAGTTGTATCCAACTTTTTAACCATCATATTTTTTATACTAAGGTTTAACTGGTTCACTTCAACCTTTTCATAGAACTTTACACAGATGTACATCATATCTAAAATACTACTTACGTCAAAGGTTATGAAATGTATCTCATGCAATGTATCTTTACCATTTTAATTTTACCAAAACAAATCGATCATTTTGTTCGTACACTCATGGCTAATTAACCAAATTAGTTTCCTGGCGGGGCCACTGTCGGCGCACTAGAGCTACAAACGTCGATAATGTTTCAATTACATGTAATTGCCAGATGATCATGTCGATATCGCTGATTGGATTTCGTCTATCCAAGCGAAGGAATAAGTCGAGGATTCCATTGGGACGGGAGGAGTTTACTATACATTTGTCACTGGTTACGCAAGGCTGAGAATGTACACTAAAGTGTAATTATTTTGAAGGTTTATGCAGTAAGAACGATCGTGAACCGCTCTAGGCGATTTTAGAGCACATTGATGGAGTTACCTCCCCAAGTATGCCTTCAACACTGCCGCCAATAGGGAATGACGTTTCCCAATACATGTATTAGATTTAATCTTAATGAAAACTCTCCCCTAGACTTTCACACTTTACAAATATGTTTACTTTTTTTCTTTTTACAACGAAAATATCAATTTTCAATTTTTTTTTTTTTTAAATTGGAAAATCAGATCTTACTTAGTAACGGAAATTTGGGATTTTTCACCATAATTTATAATTTATTAAAATTGATCAAAATGTTTGAAACTATGCATCTGATAGCCGCTCTAATCTACAATTAGCTACGATGAATTATGCATCTCGGCAATTCTTTGGACTTGCAGCCCCAATGTCACCAAACCGAAACGGAAATCTTGAGGCAATGCTCAAAAGACGCACACGGTTAGATTAAAAAGAGGAATCCAAGTAAAACTTGCAGGTCTATTTTTCGGATATGATTAAACTTAGATTATAGGCAATCGATGTTTTAATTACCGGCTCTGTCGGTATCTGACATTGAAGATCATGAAAGCCACGGCCAGCACCACGCCAATCAGTGCCAGAGACGACATGATGCCAAGGAGGATGGGAGAGATGCTCCTCAAGATGACGTCTTCCTCATTGGCCCCGCCCCCTACGGTCACGCCCTCCGACACGCCCACGCCGGGCAGGGACGTGTTGTCCATGGCGGTGAGGGGTGGATTTACCTGCGGGTGAAATAGAAAACGGGAACGCATAAACTTGATTTGTAGTTGGCATGGTAAGTTAGATTTGCGGCCGGCTTTGCATGGTGGAGATACTAATGAATGAAAGGTTTGCGGAAACACCATATGGGAATAATTTTACAAGCTAAGAGAATGGTTCTGAAAAGAACCAGAGGTATAAACCCGACGCTCCGGTCAGTAAATTTGAAGTTGGTCAATTTGAGTAAATGAGCTACCAACTCCAAATACCGCCCTCGTATTGTGTCCATCATACTTTTAAAAAAAAATGGCATTAAAATCATATACAGAAACAGCAACATTAACCACTAAACGCAGAAAATTAACCACAGAAAACCCCTACTTGTTATACTGAAGCAGATTAGAAACTGAATTGCTTCTGCTTTGAATTACGTCACGTTTTTGCCAGGATTCGACTTTAACTTTTTTGTTCACTAGCCAGCCGTGCTACTGAAACGGACTCTTAACTAGCCCGCGGGCATTTTCACTAGCCCGCATTTTTTTCTAATCTCAAATACAAAATGGCGTATTTTCAGGCTCAATTCTGAGGCAATTTTGTCAGTGTTTTTGATTAACAGTTCTAATAATTTTACTCTTTAAAACAGTTGATAAAATTAGACACAAATTGATGGGGTTTTCTTTCTGAATTTAATGATTTCTTTCTTTCTCTACGTTCATCTTTGCCGTATCCCACTATTGTTCACTCGCCAGCCGGGCTAGTTAAGGAATAGTTTGACTAGCCGCCGTTGTTTTGACTAGCATTTGGCTAGCGGGCTACGGCTAATTTCGAATCCTGGTTTTGCTCATGAATATGGAAATTGGTATGAGCATAAAAAAAGGCACCGAAATCCACTTAAAAGGCAGTATGAAGACCAAAAATATAGCTAAATGGATCTGGAACACAACAGGTACATTTCAAGGCTTGCTATAAAAAAAAATCGTTACATGACACCCCCCCCCCTTTAAATCTTAACCTTGACAAATATCAGAGCGGCACTAAACACAGTCAAAAGTAAATATAAATGTATGCGTTTTTCTTCATGTGCAACCTTTAACTGCATGTGATGTTTTTCTTTCAATGCTAGGTAAGACTACAAGTCACAAAGCCAGCGGCAGGTAAGCATACCACATCTCATTTACCCCAACCCACTCTTCCTAACTCGAGTGTAAAACGTTCGCCATCAATGTTATTTGTTCATCACATGCAACGCTTTCTAAGTTGTGTTAACACTGTATACTCTCAATGTTTCATTGTTGTCCGCTGCCTGAATGAAATAATTTTTTTACAGTTATTATTATTAACATAACTGATAAAAACAACTCCCTGTGGACCTTCTTGATAAGGTTATGCAAAATAAATATACATGTATTGCATCCATAAATAAAGACACATTCAATTCACGAGTTCACGAAGCAGCGAATTCACGAAGAAATATTGTTCTTCACACACGAAACGGTTGAAAAAAACTCCGGCATCTTTTCCATACAATATTGTCAGAGTGCGGTCCGCGAATTGACATGCATAAATTTGGAATTCATAAAGAAGAGAACTCATTTGGTAAAGTTGAAACACACACACCGGGCGAGCTATGTCGGGTTTTGTCCACCAAATGTCACGTATCAGCCTCGGTACTAAATCAATGCATTAATGTTATCCCTGAAATCCGCCGCATACGCGCGCCGCTGTCCAATTGGATTTCCCCGCTAGTCAAAACAGAAATGATTGCCACGCATACTCGATTTCGACAGAAAATTGGCCCAGCCTTGGAAGGGTTTATATAAATGAAATCAAATTTTGAGAACCAAGATTTCCTTAATGAGTTGTTTGTCTCTTATTTAAAGGAGCGGTATCGTGATTCAAAAAAGAGGGTACCCTACGCCATTTTACAAACAAAAGGTATATTTTGAGATACCCCTTTGATCGTAATTATCACAAAGCATTAAATGTATGGTCCCGAATACTCGAACTTGAATAAACATTTTGTTTTACACACCTTTGGGGTGTTAGGGTCAATATGATCGCATCGGAAAACACGATCTAGCTTATGTGCTGTCAAACTAAATTGTGATATTAAGCCTGACAGAAGTTTTGGCAAGACGTAAAACAGCACGCAGAATTATGCTTTATAATTATGGAAACGGTTATTTACAGAGAACAAAATAAGCGGGCTTATTTTAATTAACTACTGTTAGGCCCTAGTTGTTTTTGCAGGCACGTTTTTTTTTTCGGTTGTGTATATATTAGGCTTTATTGGTTTCATAAGCCTCGTAACTCCGCAACGGACAAAACACGGACTGAATCGCGTCTATTTATGAAAATGCAGCTTAATACGAAACTGCCTTAACGTAAGGCAATCGGAAGATCATAACATAATTAAACGACCCTTACGTCTGCATATCGCTCGATGATGAGCTTGTTAAGTTGGCTCGGCCGGTCAAGTCGGCATCGTGCGGTATTGGTGTCAAAGCAATCGGAAATTGTGGGACTGTCGGTCTTCTCGTGTATTTGTATTAAAGCGTTACCAAAACTGATGCGCTGAAAAACAAACTGCAGCTCCTGAGATGGACGGGCCGTTGAATTGATTCTGTACAGACCCTGTGCACTGCAGCCATCTTTTAGGTGTGTGCTCATTTTTTGTTCAACACAGGCATGCAACTGTGAAGTCGCCAAAAATTAAGTAATTCATATATTTCCCTGACTGAATTGTTTAGTGGGTTTTTTTTCTATTTTAAATGGCACACACATGGGAAGGGGGGAAATCAACTGTTCCGAGAAAAAGTTCCATGCCCGTCAAAAGGCAATAGGCCTCTTGCGCATTCATTGTTAGTGAAATAATGTAACAAAAAACACCTCCAAGATGGCTGCCGAATGCAAATGATCTATTGACATTATGCATTAATGTGGAACTACAGCGCAATGGTTCTTTATCGCTTTTGGTAATTGTGTTTTCATGTAACTAAATCAAAATAACAAAGAACAGCCTCCGAGACACCTGCAAGGCATAAGGTCTATTCAAAGCCTGTATTCACATACGTCATAAGTAAGAAAATCGATATTTGAACCTGCTCGGGCGAATTGATATCTGCAGCAATCACGATAGAGGAAAAAACACATGCTTTAGCTCATATTTAATTCAAGACACGTACAAAACAAAAACAAAACCTCATTTTATGTAGGCCTAAGTATTTTATTCAGAGAACCTAAGCCGTTATTTAAGACTGCACAATGTTTATTCTTCTATTGGTTGAAGTGTTAATGTTTTCATGACTGACTGTCTTGCGAGCCCCTTCGAAATTCGAAGTTTTGAGGGCTAATTAGTATTCCCATCGACCCTGAGCAATGTCTTGTACGACTTCTCTGGATGTCAGCTGGGAAATGACAAATGAGCATCAATTTTGTCTCAATCAGATTCTGAGAAGTTCTTATCAACGTCGAGCAATAATAGTTGGATAATCCCTGCACACACGTTTTGCAAACACTACCCCATGTGGCGATTAAATACGATTTGTCCTTTCACCGGTTGGGGGCGCCCCAGGGGTCAGCACCAGACAAAGACCGCCATTTTGAGCAGTTACACGCTAATCTGGCAGTACGAGTATGAGTGACAAAACCTGACGCACGGCCAGCTAACCAGCAAACTGGAGTATCAATACAGTGACAACGAAATGTTATTAGCAAGCAGCGGTTAGGGAACTTTTTCAAAAGTGGGTCTGAGGTACGAGTAAACCTTTTGTATCTTTATTGTATTTAAATCCAAATAGCATACACTGAAACCCCTGCATACATGCAATGTATAGTGCTATTAAAAGCCTATTGCCATTGCTTCTGCTGAAAACAACAATATTTAACCTGCTCGAGCCAATTGACATCTTAAGTAAGGATATCACGATTAAGGAAATGCGGCTGTCGAATTCATTTTAATTTCAAATTTACTTAAAAAAAAAAACCACAGGGGACCCAGTCCGAAGCAAAAAGGATACACCCATTAACACTCCCCCGCGCATATTTATTCAGAAAACCTAAGGTCCTAATATAAGACGGCATATCCTTCACTTGATTGAGTATTAGGCCATTACAAAAAAAAGGTCATGAATGATTATTTTGCCAACCTATAGGCCTACGTCTTTGAAAGTTCGAAGTTTTGAAGGCTAATCTATTCATATCGATCATGAGCAATCACTTGTACATCTTCGCTGGATGAAATGAGCATCAGTGTATAGTCTCAATCAAATTCCGAGAACTTCTTATCAGGGGGATAATCACATACTTATCCTATGTACGCGTCTCGCACAACGCCACCCCATGTGACGTTTACACAAGGTTTTCTCCTTTTGCCGGTTGGGGGCGCCCCAGGGGGCATCGCCAGACAAAGGCCGCCATTTTGGACACTAGCACGCTAATCTAGCAGTGCCTTTCAGAACTGATTATGAGCAAGGGTGGATCCAGAACCCACTTTTTTGGGGGGCCCAAAAAAATATTGGTCCCCCCAAAAAAGTGGGTCAAAAAAATTACGGCGTGGGGTTCGGGGCCCGCTTAAGGGCCCCGAAAATTTTTTGGATTCTAGATGCTCTGTGGTGCGATCTGAGGCAATTTCTGTCCACTTTAACCAATGTTTTTTTGAGGAAAAGATGTTGGTGTACTCATTGCCAGCCTTTATTGCGATGTCACATAAAAAAAATAATGGTTTCGTTTGGGGGGGGGGCATGGCCCCCTTTGGGCCCCCTCTGGATCCGCCCTTGATTATGAGTGACAAACGTGAGGCACGGCCAGTTAACGAGTAAACAGAAGTATCGCCACAGTGAAAATGGACAGGGTTATTGACAGGCAACAGTAGTTAAAGACTCAGTACTCAACAGGCGTGTTGCTCATATGGCGGGCGATCAACTAGTGAGCACCATCCGGTACCCATGCACATACATTCCTACACCCTTAGCTATTTTTGTACGCGATAATCTTTCCCGTAAACTGAAAGCTTCAGTCTCTC